ATAGAGAAAATAAAGAAATGTTTTTGCATGAAATTGATTTGAAAGCACAATTAAGAGGCATCGCTTTCGCGAGAATGAAAGGGGGACAACTCATATCGAGTTATATTTATTATAAAACCCAGGTTGTTTGTTTGTGTGTGTGTGTGTGTGTGTGTGTGTGTGTGTGTGTGTGTGTGTGTGTGTGTGTGTGTGTGTGTGTGTTTTTTATATATGGGATCAGAGTTCCTACTTTTTTCAACCGATTTCAACAAAACTTCACTTTTTTTGCCAAGTATTGTTTCTTATTGCCTTGCACACTTTTTTCTTTATTTTTACATTCAGAATGCTTTAAAAATTCATTTTACAAGACAGTTGTTTATAATAAAATTCTATTCAATCGATAGACTTATAACGATTGAAAAAAATTTTTTTGTTTGAGTTTGGGTTTGACCAATTCGTATAAAAAACAAAGAATAATTAAGATATGCGTGTCCGTCAACCTTAAACAATAATCTTTGTCAATTTTATTTTTCAGTCTTTATGATGGTCGATACTTGATCTATCTCTTACTGTTACATCACTGGGCAACACCGGGCTCTACTGCTAGTTATATATAAATTTCATATATTAAAAACAATAATACTGTAAATTATCTGTGAAGATTGTAATATTTTAACAAACTGGCATGACGTGTGAAGACGTAATAATTGAAAAATGATGAAATTGACATCGCACAAAAACAACAACTCTTTAATAATGGCTTAGGGAATAGACGGAAAATTTATATTTAACCTTTCACGAGAAATGTCCGAAAAAAAAACAACAATTACGAAACAACTTTCGCTTTTCTATGACCAGGCTAATATCAATAGTGACGTTTCTGTCGATTTTAAGCTATAAGGTTCTTGCAGTTCAGCTTTTAGAAGGGAACTGCAACTCTTGCATGGCATTTGATTATATCGGTGAAGGCTTACACAAGACCAGCTAAACCCTTTTTTAGGAATGTACGAGAAATCTGTCACGCCAAAAACGCCAAACACCCATCCCCAGGTTCAAATTCATAGTTGTACTTCCCCAAGAATGGTTGCCAACCTAATCAAGCAAATTCAGTATTTCCTGCTAATTAACCCATAATACGAGGAAGAGAAATGGATAATGCCTTTCCCAACGTTTTAAATTCAAGCATGAGTCGCCGATTTCTTTCTCCTGCCGATTAACCGCCACCCCAATACATATCAATCAGGTTTTCATAGCATTGATTTTAAAGGAGAGGTGGGGGCGTAACTTGAGTTCAAATCACACTGAGAAACCATATAGACAAGGTGCGATGGATGAATTGTCGTCTAAATGACGCGTACATGAAAATAATACAGTCATCTTATATTAAAAGATTTCTTACCAGAATTACACAAACATATCTTGAAATACTAAAGTAAACATTCAATAAATCGCTATTAGCCTCAAACATCCAGATGACTTTGCAATCTCCTGCAAATCTTCTGGGCGGTCTCCTTGTTTAAGTTGGTGAATGCTGCCATAATCCATGCCTTCAGTTCATCATTGGTGCTACAAGGAATTTTGTTGGTCTCTCGTTCAAGACATAATAATTATGGCTGTTGCAGTCTGAGGAGTTAGGTGAATAAATGGTCGGAGAAATTGTCTGACAGCCATGGCTGGTTTTTACTGCATGTGTGGCATGGTGCAGAGTCCTTTTGTCAGACATAGGATCTTCTAGTAACCACCCTCTTGAACCAAGGCAGTACTAACTCCTCAAGGTACTTGATGTAGGCCCCTTCTGGCTCCCTCTGGGAAGATGAATGAAAGGCATAACGTCGCCATCACTAGTGATCACTCCAAACATCATTATGTTGACTGGATATATCATCCAACTCTTTCCGAATCCTCTGCACTGTCCAAAGGTTGACACCATATACACCATGCCGTTTCCAAATTTCTGGCGAGGTGATTTGCGACATGGTGCTCTTTTTCTTACAGGCGGTTCCCGACTGACCCGAACATAATAAATGCAAAAGCACACAACGTGAAAATCATAGATATAAAATGGCGACAATTTACCAATTTCCGCCTGTATAAACATAAAGATAGATATTGTATATCTAATCAGCAATCTTTTTTTCAAAGATATTTCGTTAAATATGAGAGACAAGGAAAATGTGATATATTTTTTATTGAATTTTTCAAACATTTTAAAATTTTCCCATTTGCTGGGGTTATGGGGTACAAAAATTATCTGTAGTGTCTATTGTCTCAAGTGCTTCGACCACTTCTTGAGTCATTGTCAGTGGGTCGTTATCGTTATTCATGTCTTTTCACGGTTTCTATTTTAAGATATAATTGTTTGATGCATATTGTTTGTTAAATGTTACTAATTTCTTTCAACGATTATGTTTTAAGATGCATTGTCTGATGCATATTGTTTGATGGTAGCGTTTATCCCGGCTGTAATGCAAGTTGTCGTACTTCTTTTAAAAACAAGAATAACAAATTGTTTCTATTGTTGAATAAAGTATCCATATATATATATATATATATATATATATATATATATATATATATATATATATATATATAAAATAATTTTAAAAACTTTGAGGCCGGGTTCTTCACACCAGAATAAAGACAAAAGTCCATATAAACATATATGCGCAAATCCTGGATCGTTTCCTACGGCCTGTAGAATGGGTTTTATGTGGTCAGACGTACGAACGGATCTCGGTCATCCTCGATACATAGTTTCTGATGCCACGGATTCTGTCTCAGCAACACGACGAAAAACAGCACAAAGGTTGGATGATTCGGCTGCCTTCGGTCTGGAAATGCAATCTGATACATCGGTGCATTCTTGCCTCCATTACCATTTGCGTGGCCATATGAAAAACAAAAATATATGCCTGTTCACGATATGAATATCCTGTCATGGTTAACCGGAACACTTCTCAGTCAAATCACGTTAAATTTTGAAGGAAAACTAGCCACAAATATACACGAATGATAAATGTGACGTAGACTACATAGCAACACACTGCCATCTACAATAAACTTTCATTAAATTTAATAAATCAAAAACGAAAGATTTGCGGACATACGTTTTTGTGTGAGGAGCCAGCTCCCAATGTTTGTAAATTTATTTTGGATATATATATATATATATATATATATATAAAGATATTATTTTATAAATATACGTTCATTTTAAAGACACAAATATTTAAGTAAATGCTCTGTTTATAATAAACCGTATTAACAACATTTATCGGCCTAAATGTCCGAGACATTTTTATAGAAAAAAATGCGTCTTCCGACAGGAATCGAACCTGTATCCTATACGGATCCGTCATATAGCATGACGGGCTTTACCAATTAACCTACAGAGGAGAACGCATATTTCCTATGAAAATTTCTCGGGCATTCAAGCCGGTAAATGCCGTCAATACTGTTTATTATAAACAGAGCATTTACTTAAATATTTGCATCTATAAAAAGATGTTAAAACATAAAAAAATGTCTTAAAATAATTGTCGGACCTTGTCCATATGTATGTATGTATGTATGTATGTATGTATGTATGTATGTGTTTGTGTGTGTGTATGTATATATATGCATATATGTATCTGTATATATACACATATATATATATATATATATACACGTATATATATACACACATATATATATATACATATATATACATAAATATATACATACACATATATATACATGCATATATATATAAATATATATATACATATAATATATATATATACATATACAAATATATATATACATATATATATATATATATACATATATATATATACATATATATATATACACATATATATACATAAATATATATATATACAAACATATATATATACGTACATATATATAAACATACATATATATATACATGCATATATATATATATATATACATACATATAAACCTACATATAAATATATACATATATATATATATATATATATATATATATATATATATATATATATATATATATATATATATATAGGGGTGGTGTAAAGTGGGCAATGAATAAATACTAAATGTACTTTACGCTGGCACAACGACAAATGAACGCTAACCGCATTTAAGAAGATTGTTATGTGCCAAATTTTCTAATCAAGGTAAGACAAGATGGCGTAAAAATCATTAATCCCAATCCTGTCTTTTACCTAAAATTTTAAAACAGGACTTTGTCACCTTACGGCTATGCACAGCTACTATTGCTAAAATACAAATGCCTGTCTTCGAATGGCATGGAATCTACGACGAGTGTAATACTTCCGTATTCATCAATGTCCAATATCAGTGAATATAGTCAAAGTGATTTTCAAGGACAAATGTGGTGTCGGTGTGAGAATTCTACAATTTTTATCGCCGAAATACCAGGATGTAGACAAAGAAATTGTTCATCAGCAATTTTTATTCAAAGATTATCATGATTTAAACAAAGGATTTTCAAATGTTATCGCAAAAAATAATGTAGAAAAAATAATTTTAACTACCATACAGAGACCACATTGTATCCAAAACTTCGAACAAAATACTCAACACCTTTTCCGAAAGTCGGAAAATGCAATAAAAAATGAAACAGACGGACCTTATCGATTGTTTGTAACCAAACTTGTTAATATGTGTGTGAGAGAGAGAGAGAGAGTATAATAATAAGAGGCGTGATGGATTGATTTTTCTGAGTTTGTCTTCATGCCCGAATCGATATATGTGTAGTTTCATCGGCATTTGGGAATGTGTTCGGTGATAATTCAAAATTACATTCTCCACGCCCACCCTTGAACAAAAAAGTAAGAAAGGAGTGAATGAATTTTTATAATGGCAGATAACCATAAGGAGTCGGGGTGGGAATAAAACGATATCATTGAATGAAGAAGAAGTAGAAAAAGAATTATGAAAATAAATAAATGAGAAATATGGAGATAAAAAGAACGAAGAAACAAATATAGAAAAAAATAAAGTAGTACGAGAAAAGAAAGAAAGAAAGCAATATGGAGAAAAGAATGTAAGACAGAATAAAAGGAAAAATATCGAGAAAAGAAAAAAGTAAGATAGAAAGTGAGAAATAATTTAAAAAAAGATATGTGGAGAAAAGAATCAAAGAAAGTAACAAAAAAATATATGAAGAAAAGAAAGAAAGAAATGTGACGACAAGAAAGAAAGAAAGAAAGAAAGAAAGAAAGAAAGAAGTATTAGCCGTAGTAGTGGAAGAAGAAGTATGAAAATAGCAGGTAACGTTGAAAGAAAGAAAGAAAGAAAGAAAGAAAAGAAAGAAAGAAAGAAAGGAAGAAAGAAAGAAAGAAAGGAGGAGGAGGGGGAGGAGGAGGAAGATGAAGAAGACGAGGATGATAAAAAGAAGAGAAGAAAGGAAAACAGTAGATAATATTGCTTTTGGAGAAAGATGAAAAGGACAGACATGGTTGAAAGAAAGTAAGAAAGGAGCAGCTGTCGTTGCTTGATTGATCCGTTTTCTACGACTTATCAGCCATTTGCAGATCATGTAAAGCCAGAAAATATTTTTAGAGTGTAAGATTTTTTTTTCAGATAATAATGGTTTTGTGATACAAGTTTTACTAATTAACCCATAAATGTGGATAGAATAAAATTCATACCTTTCTCAAAGGTATTTGCACGTAAGTGAATATAACAAACCCAACAGGAATTGGAACTCGGCACTCTGATTACCAATTCTAAGTCATTATCCATTACACCAACTGCACATCCAAGTTTACAATACTTGGTATTCCCTAGCTGTCATCCATCTAGCTAGTGACCAGTGATCATACGGGAACCAGTGTTTCAACGTGGTACGACCGTAAGTCAGTAGTTGCAGGAAACGAAGAAAAGGAAGAATATATCTACTTACTTGATAGAAGTATGGCAAGAACACTTAATAATGGAATAAAGAAAGAGTGAATGGTGAAGACAAATTTGAAAGAAAGAAAGAATGAAAAAAACAAAGAAAGAATGTAAAAACGAAAGAAAAGAATCAAGAAAAAAAAAAGAACAAAAAGAAAAAACAAACAAAAATGCAAAAATCGAAGAAAAAAAAAAACAAAAGAAAAGCAAGAGAAAAAAAAAAAGAATAAGAAAACAATGCAAAATCGAAAAAAAGGTTGTATGAAAAGAACAGGCAATGAAAAAAGAAGAAAAGAAAAGGAAGAAGAAAATCAAGAAAAAAATGAAAAGAACAAGAAAGGGAATAAGAAAGAAAAAAAAGAAAAAAGGAGGAAAAGGAGGGGATCTCCGCTTGAAGAAAAAAGAAAAAAAAAAGATAAGAAAAGGGAATAAAAAGAACAGGCAATGTTAAATAGAAAAAGAAAAAGAACAGGCAATGTTAAAAGAAAGAAAGAAAGAAAGAAAGAGGAGGAGGAGGAGGAAGAGGAGGAAGAAGAAGAAAAAGGTTGTATGAAAAGAACAAGCAATGTTAAAAAAGAAAAGAAAGAAAAGAAAAGAAAGAAAGAAAAAGAAAAGAAAAAGAAAGAAAAAAGAAAGAAAAGAAATATGTAGATTTCTGAGAGAATGATTACGGTACGGTTGAAAAAGAAAAGAAAAAATAATAATTTTAATGAATGAAAAACTGAGGAAAAGACATTAAAATGAACTTCCAAGGTTGGTCTGACAGCGAAATAGAAAATAATAAAACTTCAACAAATATTAACCAGAAGCGGAAAGCATTGAGAAACATCCAAAAAAAAAAAAAAAAAAAAAAAAAAAAAAAGAAAATAAAAAAAATCTTCTGTTTCTCGCTACGCCCTAACTCTGCTCGTAACACTCTTTTAAAAAATACTCTTCGCCTTTACTGGAGTTCATCGAAAATACCGCCAGATTTAAATGTCACGTGACATGAAACCTCTCTTTCTCTGTCTTTCTCTGTCTCTCTTTTTCTCTCTCATATTTTTCAGTGTTTTTTTTTTTTTTTTTTTTTTTTTTTTTTTTTTTGCGGGGAGGTAGGTTATGGTTTGATGTTGGGGAAGTGAAGTTTTAGTTATTGTCTGCTGCTGGGTGTACGACAAAAGCAATTTTTGTTTCAGATTTTTGTACTCTTGTAAAATCCTTTTCACTGCCTTTTCGCAGGGGCGCTTCTCCAACCACTCTCCATCCTTTGCCAACAACAGCAACAATTAATAATAACAACAACATCAATACCCTTGTTTTAATCTACCCCAAGGTCATGAATATGTTCCTGCCACTCTACTCGACCTGATTTACAGGTCATACGCCTGCTTTCCTAAATCAGGTGGATCGATAAGATTAGCAGAATAACCGAGTGAGTTATTCTTTTGTTCATGATGTGTGCCTGGTTGCTCGTTTCACTCGTCTTGTTACGTGAAAGTCGCTATTTGGATTTTGCCTTTTGTTGTTGTCGTTGTTGTTGTTGTTGTTGTCTACATTCTTCATTTGTTCAGAAGATTTTGTTAAATAACCAACCAAAGATTAACCAAAAGTAATGGTAAAGTTGAGCAACGGTTATTAGTAATGTACAAGCAATACTATTATTTGAAACTCGTTTAGTATTTATTTTCTTATCACTACTGATAGAGATCGCTGGAGATCAAGCGATAACAAGTTTCGACACGAGCCCAGCACTCTCCTCAGTAATCTTCCTGATTTTAGTAATACTTTTTTCAGAGCATTTATTGAGATGTTATAATCATAGTTCGTAACATTTTTCAAAGTTGGCTCCCTGTGCCTCGCCAAGAAAATTTTCTCCCCGGAATCGATCCTACAAATAAACAATTCGCCCTTGCATGGAGTATTGCTGCCATATATGGTCTGGAACCCATTCTGCTTGCCTCGGGATTCTTGATAAGATCCAGAGACGGATATGCAATGTAATTGGCCCTGATCTGGCATCTCGTCTGCAGTCGCTCTCTCACAGACGTGTCGTCTCCTCTCTCTGTCTTTTTTTATAAATACTTTCATGGTAACTGCTCCGATGAGCTGTTTTCACTGGTTCCAAGACTTCGCGAATTCAAGCATCCTAAGAGACTGGCATCCCGCTCTCACCCTTTCACTGTTGCCGCTTCTTCTATTCCAGTAGCTTCATGTCTCGCACCTGTCGCCTGTGGAACTCTCTTCCCTACTCCTGTTTCCCTGATAGCTTTAATCTCCAACTATTCAAATGCAATGTCAATCGACGTCTCCAGTTGCCTTGATCTATCCACTATCCTTCTCCTCATCCTCTCCTCTATCATTTCTATCTGCTCTCGCTCCAAATCCTCTGTAACCCCTTGCGTGCTAGTGGCTTCCCGCCTTGCTAGGGGTGAAATGCATAAAAAGAAAAAATGGGTAGTGACTGTTTCGTAACATTTTTCAATAGGTAGTGACTGAATACCTGATTTCGTTTCACACGTAACTGATACTTAGTATATATGTTTTAATCGATTTCACCCCAAGCAAGGCAGTAAAGTCACTAGGACGCAAGGTTTTACGGGGTGCGGAAGAATTAGAAAATAGAAACTTTACTGAGTAGCAAGAACAAAAAATTGTTGTAGAGTAGTTTTCACAGTGGAGGCTTGTATTTCAATAAGTCGTCCTAAATTAGGTTCGACGTACAAAACGTTAGAAACTTGAAAATAAGAGTTAATGACGCAGCAATCTAGTTGTGTTGGTTGGTACTTCAATGTCCGATATCGTCTGACTCGCTCAACACCACTGAGCCGAACTGGCGACTGCTACTACTACTACTTATTATCTGTGGGAGAGTCCATTACAATAGAATAGGTATTATGGCATAAAAAAATAGTAACCAGGAGGACAGTAGATAGCGATTGGCATTGCATTTAAATTTTTGAAAATTAAATTTGGCTGGAAAGCATGTAGCCGGAAGAAAGATCCACAAGCGAGAAATGCGAGAAAATGTATTATCATAGAACCTATGGTTAGATCTAATCAGCTCAACTGTATACTGTTGGGACCTCACCGCCAGTCTAGTACTGCGTTTAAATTTATAAAGTCTAGGTGCCCTAGCGAAGAGGCGTCAGGAATAGTTGCCATGGAAGTATTTATAGAAAAGGCACAGAGAGGCAACTTTATGTCGGTCGGATGTGACTGAAGCCAGTGCAGGATCAATAACATTGCCCATTCTCTAGATATATGGCAGGAGCACCAGACCATATGTGGCAGCAATATTCTATTGCAACGCGTCTTTTTCTACAATTCCTCTGTGGATTATAAATATTTTGAGGTTAAAAGTGAAAATGTAGGAAATGGGATACATATTCGTTAATTGATGCTCTTTTGTCTGAAAGAGAAAAACTGTTAAACAGTAAAATAGATGTGCCATTTATGGAAATGGTTCCGTAACTGAGAGTACTGTGTGCAGTTGGTTTGCTATGTGCAGTAATGGGAAATTTCATCTGAAAGACCGAGAACGTTCTGGCAGGCATTCTGTCGTTGATGATGACCAAATCGAAAGGCTATTTAAAAATAATCCAGCATATACGACAAGGGATATCACAGAGGTACTCTACATATCTAATATATTCGTTGTACGGTAATTGAAACCTTTTAGAAGTGAATCGCTGCGATGATTGGACGCCTCAAGATTTTACAGATGGGCCGCTTTAAAAAAAAAAAGAAAAGCATATTTTTTATAAAGGGAATCACATCGCTCATATACATATTGTTTACAATAATTTAAATCTAAAAAAATAATGTTGGAAACTAAATATCTGTCTGCATCCCAAGAGGGCGATGTTTTGTATCACATTGGATTGAAACAGCCGTTTATTACCAGCTTCTCCCGAAAAATCAGATGTTGAATTCAAACAAATGCTGTTTTCAACTGGGCCGGTTAACGACAGTAATCAATAAAAAGTCTCCGGAATTGATTAATCGGGAGAGCGTCTCTTACATCAGTACAACGATAGACCTCGTTTATGTTGCAGACCTGGCAGAATTTAGTACCGCTTGTCTGTGAGGTCCGATTACAATTGCACCGTTCTCACCTAACCATTTATCTTCAGCTTAGCACTTATTTCGATCACTACAAAATTATCCTAAATGGAAGAACTTTATTTCTCTGGAATCCTGTAAGAACCATTTAGACTGGTTCCTCAGCAAGGAATATGCTAAATTCTGGGAGGACTGAATCATGAAGCTGGCTCCAAGATGCCGAATTTTAGTGGAAGAAAATGACATCTATATTAAATTGATCCGTATACAAATATCTAAATATTGTCTATGAAGTTAATATAAAAACGCTATTGATCTTTGCTCTAACCCAAAACCTAATGACATATGACCTATCGGCCTATGATATTTCAGGTAAACTGTACATTGTATAGAATGTGGACTGTTTAAGTTTGGATTTAATGAATTTTTGCGTAACTTGAAATTGCTGTAACTACTAACTATACAGGATTTTGTTTTTTTTAAGTCGAAACAAGAGGCTTTGAGAATACAGCGCATTTAGAACATGTTATCATACAGCATCAGTGAATAGCGCTTGAAAATATATTGTTGAATGACAAGCTAATTCTAAAAACAACGGTCACCTGCGTAAATGCGAAGCTCTTCAGTAAAATGAATGGAGCACTACGGCTGCTTGATGTTTGCTTAGGTTTGTAAAAACAATACGCTAGATTTGGCTCATTCTGTCGAGTGAAGATGGCTTAGTAGTAGAAGCTCTGACTGACACCAAATCGGTTGGGTTTCAATATGGGCTTAAGGCATTTGGTTGTCTAGTCGCACTGAGGAGCCATGATACAGCGAAACAGTATTGTCTGCGAATGACATATATATATATATATATATATATATATATATATATATATATATATAAGAATTTTTCAATGTTGAAATATTTTGTGGCTTATTTAAACCTGCAAAAGATTAATAAATCATAAAAAAGCTAAATAATCCAAAATCCAAAAGAGAATATATATATATATATATATATATATATATATATATATATATATATATATCAAGCTATGAAGAGAGATGATATAAAAAACTGTATTAAATGATAATGTATTATCAGTGGATTAATCTTAACATAAGATACGCGTTGACATTCTACAGCTGATAGACTCAGAAAGAAACGTACCAAAGAACATAGAGAAGACGTAGTGAGTTCTTGTCAGCAGAAGAAACAGGCGAGTGTGAGCTATTTGAAAACTCCAACTCAAAAAGGCACAGAAATTCAAATAACTATTGTAACACACCACAGAAAATGTGACACATCAAATCCGTTTTTCTGAGACTAAGCAAAGGATTAAGAAATGCGAAAATCTCGCCAGAAACAAAGACAAGATTACCAAATTCTTACGTAATATCGGATATCACTGTTAAAGAATGCGTAAACTGGCCGAGAATGGCAAACAACTGCTCAGAACTCTGATGACCCGAACTGAGTAGGAGGGGTGGTTTGAATCCCGTGGGCGTGGAATTCTGACAGTGATGGATTGTCTTTGTTTATGTTTTGATATGAGACCAAAAAGGCGCGAAGACAGGCAGACGGGAGGAGGGGCAAGATTTAGAAGTGTCACAATTCCTCGCCAAACCCAGATTCCTTAGCGAGACAAACCAGCATGCGGTCATGGGATTTTGGCTAACCAATTACCATGTGTACTCTCAATCATCTCCCTCTCCTTTTCGACTCCTCCCAGAAACGATGCTACGCCTAATAAAATAAAGCGAAAAATAAAGAAAATTAATGAAGTTTCTGGTGTAGAATTGAAGTTTAAGAGGACCTAAGACACAACAGATATGGAACTGAAGATGCTGAACAATCACACAGAGATATGGTGTAGCGAGGAACGCTGAGTCTATCATGAACTGAACAGAGGGGAAATTTTAAAGACAAATAGAAACTCGCCGTATGAAGTCTTAACAAAGATCACCCGTCTTTGAATAATATGGACTGGCGCTAGAGATTCACAAAGAAAAAATTGTACAAAATAAAAGAAACTTCATTAGGCGAGGACAACTCGGGATCTGATTGAGAAAAATTGAATTATGCTAACCTTTTTTTGTTTTAGGTGCTGAAATTTAAAAAGCAGTTGTTTCACTGTTGTACTGTTTGAACAAGGTCAGAGGTGCGGTCATCTGCAAATTGCCGTTTTTCTTATTTGGAAAACGGTCATAAGCAGTGATATCATCTGCATCGACATTTACCAATGATCTGAAAATGTTCATAGGAAGATCGTTTATAAAAAGCAGAAAGCGGGTAGAAGAAAGAAAGAAAGAAAGAAAGAAAGAATAAGAGAAAGAAAGAGAGAAAGGAAGGGAGAAAGAAAGAAAGAATAAGAGAAAGAAAGAAAGAGAGAGAGAGCCTTAGGGGATACCTGCATTGGTCTCAACAGTCCCATAAGACTGGTAATTCAAAACCACCTTCTACAGTTTCTTTTCTTCCCAAGTGAGTTATTATATTTATTTTTAAAAGAAATTTCCTCTTTACCCTTTTTTTCGTTGCGGGTCACCTTTTCCAACGCCCGTGGCCACTCGTGGTTAAAGGTTAAGTTACGAGGCCTTTTGTGTGCATTTGGTGAAGAAGATAACGAATATCACTAGCCTTTAATAGGTTAAGATTGTAGTAATCGGGGAAAACATCCAGTTGGGAGTCGGTTCCACTAGGCAGTAGTTCACAAGCTGCTCGTGTAGAACTTCTCACTGATGGAATATGGAGAGAACGTGGGTGCTTTGCTACTATGTAAACGGCATGTCGTTTTCTTGCCGTGAAGGTTTGCCTCGACGGGACCATGAAATATAGTCCATCTGAGGACTTTCTTTGGAAGTAGCGGTAGAACCATGAGAGGCTTGCCACATCCCGTCTGTGGGAGAGAATTTGAAGAGTGGGGAATAATTCGTCAGTCACAACAGTTCTGAGACGCGCTTAACTCTATCAATGCTGGAGAGTGTAGAGTCTTCACCCGTCGGATCATTGACTGACCAAATATGACAATAGTACTTTGTTTATGGTCTGATCTAGCTCCTGCAAAAATAGAGGATAGGAAGAGGAGTCAGGTACTTACTAGAGAGGTACAGGGCATTGACCATTTTAATTGCAACCTTAGCAACGGATGTAAGGGTTCTACTTGAGGCCGGGTGTGTGTTTGAGCCCCAACAGTCTTTCATGGCGCGCTAACGATCTAACAGATAATCTTATCTTTCTTAAAGACTATCAGTTCCGGTCTTCTCTCGTACTATGGGTGTGGGCCTGGAATTCGCAACTCCAGATTGTTTAAATATTTTTTATTTCCTAATATTCGCTCTTCTTTGGGAATGCAACTTCTCGTCTCCAAATATTCCCACAACGCCTCACATTTTTTTTTTTAATTATTTTCTTCGCTTCTGGTAAACTTATGAATCTCAAGAATGATTAAATCAAGCACAATGTCGGTATGCTGAATAAGATTCAGCCACTGAACGAGACCCATGTTTAATCAGCCTAAGAACTGATTTATTTTACAAACATGATCGACATAGAGTAATCAATTTCATACGCTTACGACGGTGATGACCACAGCACAAAACTACTTCCTCTTGCCAAAATATCAAGCCTCGATTTGTTACGCTGGACGAGTGGATATTGATTTGACATGCATGACTGGATAGAGGTATTAACTTCATCTGAGTCTGATACAGGGTTAGATCTAAGGTAAGACCAACGGTGATATCAGCCGTTACCTTATAAGGAAACATTCGGTTTGCATTAATTAAGTGATCGCTGTTTGAAATAAATAAAATATTTCTCTCAAAACAGAAAAAAACGGCTTCACAATTTCACATTGTCCTTTCTAGTATTGATGGGAGTTTCCTTCCTAAACTTTGGTTTGAGGTAGTGTGGAAAGTTAATATATTGATTGCGTCATTATATTCTCTCCACGTTACATGCTCTATCTATTTTAGTTGTTGCCACTGTAGAAAGTCCTCAAGTAAACGGATGTGCTTTTCTTCTAGTTTTGTTAGTGATTCATTTCCGGGCTTTCGATGATGCGGGTGATGTAATGGAGTCGGATCTGCAGGAGAAATACGAGAACCCATTTCAAATGGCTCGTCACATTCACTTATGAGCAAATAATACGGTTAGGAAAAAGTATGAATCCGTCTCATCGCCAGGAATGGATTAATTATTAATTAATGTATTATCTGGAAAGATCATTGTTTTTCTCCAAAAAAATGTTAATGCAATATTCCTTGCCAGCCATATGTGACGAGGTTATTTAAAGAACATAAGTCAAGTTCATATAATTTGTTGGATGTAAAATTAATTTATCTATTAGAGAAACTAATTCCTAACATTTGAAAATTACAAAGTATTAAATCTCTGACTGCTGTGTTAAATTTACATACATTTAATTAATTAATTAATTAATATATTTTTTCCTTTTTCTTTTTTATTTATTTGACTTTAGTAAAATAAATTCTGTTCGGATGACTGATTTTACGACGCCTCAACATTTGGTTTATCTGTTGTCGAAATCAAACCCTTTTTATTATATTTAATTACGTGAGTACTTTTTGGGCTCAGCGACAGGTCTTATGCTGGCCGATTATATTTGAGTTTATAAGCATTTATCGGTTGATGGGCTCTTCGGTGGGGGGGGGGCTATATTTCTACCGGGAATGCACTGATATTTACAGTACAGATAGATTATAAACAAGCTGAAATCAATATTAATACATATACACACACACACAAACACATACGCACAGACAATATATATATATATCTTCAATGTTATTGGTCCTGAACTGACAACACGGCTTCAGTCACTTTCCCATTGCCGTAACACATCTTCCGTGTGCTTGTTATATAAATACCTTCATGGAAATGTTCTGATGAACTTTCTTCTGTGGTATCTAAACTTTATGAATTTAAGTGCAATACTAGATTGGTGGCAAGGCGTTGGCATTTTACTGTTGAAATAGGTGCATTAAACCGTAAGTTCTATGCTAATAGTTTCTTCTATCGCATGTCTCGCTTGTGAAACTCTCTTCCGAACTTTTGCTTTCCCAGTTAATCTTCAAAAATTTAAATACAATGTCAGTCGTTTTCTTCCTTTTCATTTATCGTTCCGACTCATTAATAGTCTTTTTTTTTTTTTTCGCTTCTATTCTCTAACACTTTGTAGCCCCTTGCGTCTCAGTGGCTTTATTACTTTGCTTGGGGTGAAATGATTTAAGAAAAAAAGCATCACAAAACGATGATTCTCGAGATTTTTTACTAGTCTATGCAGTGATGGAAATTCTGTAATTGCTGATTGCCTTGGAGCAGCTGACGAGATATCTCACCCGATATTTGTTCGCAATAGTTGATCTGAGACTGGCGGGTAAACAAGGAATGGATTAAAAATAATTCTTTGATAGTAACGAAGGCAGTTTAAAAATAGGTTTGTCCTGGAGAGTGGCTATATTATCTATATTATATTTGTAATAGTTGATCTTACTATGGCAATAATTGACTTAATGGATTCGCGATTATTCTGTGACGTTGGCGAAGGTAGTCGAAACGGCTGGTTAGAGGTTTCGCTAATATAACTTCGCAAACAATCCTAGTCCCAAGTGGTTGCGTCGAAGAGGTATCCTAGCTGTTAGTTTAAAGAGTTTTTTTTATGATTGGCGCCAACCAAATCTACAGAAAATGAATCCTCTACACTCCAAAAAAAAAAAACATACTGGCAAAACAACCGATAAATATTTATCATACCAGCCAAGTCATAAATCATTTTCTTAGACACAAACTACGGTAGCAGGACTTTGTGTTTAAAATAACAATGCCTTTTTTATTTACTTTTGTTGGTGTGGTATTTATAGACGGGACCCCAATACCGCTGCCAGCCGGGAAAACAATTACTCTCCCTCACTAGTAAAAAGTTTATGTACTGCAAATGATTAGTTTGACTACGGATCTGATTAAGGATTACTCGTTAAAAACTGCACTCGCGTAGACGGTCTGATATGCAATGTTAAAACCACACGGGTACACACACAACACACACACTCGTATTTGAGTAAGAACTACATCTATATATTAAGAAGTATATTTATTTTTACCTACAGGCCTGAAATTTCGAAAAATCTTATTAATAAAAAAAACTTCCATTTATTTATTATTTTTTTTTACATAGTGTTAATCTCATCTATGAGCTTGGGCATCTGAGAAAACGTTGTAAATATCTATGCAGATGAGCCAACAGTGCATCTTCCAGCAATTTAAGATTAATGTGTGGGTTAGAATTATAGGTGACCGTCTGGTAGGGCCATATGTTCTCCCAGCACGTCTTGCAGGAGATCTCTACAGGGACTTTATTTCGAACACACTTCCAGAAAATCTAGAGGATGCACTTCTGCTAATAGGAAGATGCATGTGGTTCATGCATGTTCGGTCTCCAGCATATTTTAGTCACATTGTTTGCGATGCACTGACTGACATCTACCATGAAATATGCCTAGTCGTGGATGAGCGGTTTCCTGGTCTGCACGCCATTGCCACACCCACCACCAAACTCAATCATCTGTAATTTTATCTGTTGGACCACCTACAGCAGTTGGTGCAGCCGACATTAATAATGCAGTAACGCTTCATCAACGTTTCAGGGTGCCTGCGAAACCATTTGACACCGTGTGGAAATATTTGAAGGTGTTTGCCAGTCAATGATCCGACGGGGGCAGAAACAAGCGCAGTATATTTTGAACATCTGTTATGAGTTGCTGTGTTGAGGTACAATGATGGTCTTTTCGAGATAACATTATATGGACATTTTTCCTTGTTTTGGTGACGAGACCCGCACTCAAATTTTTTAAAAGTATATTTGATAGAGCCTAACGAGTCCAGTAATCCATTAGGGTCGTAATCCATTGTACTGTAAGGGGTATCGTATATACTATATATATATATATATATATATATATATATATATATATATATATATATATATAGGGAATTGTTAGTGTCATTCATAGAAGTGGAACATTATATTTACATTGTTACGATCACATAACGTTGAAACACGGGTTCCCGTACGATCACCGAAGTTAAGCAACATCGAGTCGGGAGAGTAACCAGATGGAAGACCACTTGAGAATACCAGGTGTTATAAGATTGGTTCGAGAGCTGAGTTACAATTTTCATTGAGTTCGTCATATACACTTCCGCACACATATCACTGGGAAAATGTGTGAATCCACCTCTTTTCCCCCAGCTATGGATTAAGTAGTAAGGCTTGTATCACTAATCTGTTAGTATCTCCAAGAAAAAAATTCTTACAATCTAAAAATATTTTCCATATTTAAATAATCTGTGAAGGCTTGAGAAGCCGTAGGAAATCAATCTCCCTAAACATTTACATTGTGACTTTACCATAAAAATGCGCTGTAAATCATACACTTGATATAATCCTATAGACATTCAATATGTATACTACATATACAAAACTATATATATATATATATATATATATATATATATATATATATATATATATATATATGGTTGATAGATGTGAGTTTGCGACCCTGGGTTTCACGCTTTAGCGATCGTCAGACAAACTGATTAATGTTTTAAAAAATTTGGGTTTATGTAGATTGCGTGTATTGGTGTTATTGTGGAAGTGGTGGGGGAAATTTCGTCGTTTTGTCATTCATCGTACTAACGCAAACATCGATGTATGCAGACACATATACATACTTGGTCGTCCGTCGGGACTCATACATATATAAACATATGTGGGCAGTTTCGGCTATGACACATGTATGTATACGGGTGGTGCTATGTCTATACATAGGCAAAAACTCGGTGTGTTACAACTTCATCTTCCCGGTTAACGTGACACAAGGCAAACAACAATAGGGTCTGACAACTGACAGGGTGCCAACAAAAATATGACGACAACATCTCGTGTTGCTAACGCTTCTTCTTTTTTTTCTTCTTTCGAGGG